CGTTTTTATTTTTATGTTCATAAGCTGATTTCCCCAGTCGTCTTGAATTTTGCAATTGGTTTCAAAATCAAAGTGAAGCGGTCCCAACTTTATTAATAAAGTGCTGTGGACAAATGAGTGAGTGTTTTTTAGCCATACTATAACTTTAATTAGGTAGGTACTACGTACCATGCTACTCTTTGAAAAGCAATTAGTCACACAATAAGGTATATGTACTATAAACTGAATAATTAATTGACTGAATACTGGAAACTCATATTCAGTTTATAAAATATAAAGAAAACGTACAATATTATAAATTCTAAATTACAATCACTTAACAAAACAATTTTTATCCTTATACATTTGTTTTTATTTACAAACAAATAATACTTGTTAAATAGGTACTTAAAATGTAAGAAAGTATCTTATTCATTCATGTATCTATAGGTAAAAGTGTCTGTTTTTGTCGTTCACTATTAAAATCACAATAAAAGCTAGGATTTATTTTTTTTCAGCATTTTAATTTTTTTTAATAGCTTATTCATATTCTACTCATTTTTCCCTATCTTTCCTTAAAATTAATGACATTATGACTGAATCACCCTGTATATTCCAAGATATTTTAGGTCTAGTAGTTTTCTAATTTACTCTAATCCATTATCGTTAATAGATATTAAATTTTTAGAAGGGACAAAAATTATTTAAAAAATAATAGTGTATTAGAAATTGTAAATTAGATTGCTATTGACGTACGAATAAAAAAACAAGTTTTTAAAAAGGTGGAGAAAACTAAAAAATAACACATATTTAAGAAAAATGTTACACTCAAAAAAATACATATATGAAATGAGATCTTCAACTTTAAACCGACATTAAAAATTATAAAACTGGGAATAGTCAGGGAATTTTATAAATTTATAAATGTTGGGGAATTTCTCGAATTTTCATGGAATTTTAACTAAAGTGTCGGTTAAAATAAAATACAACGCCACTGAAAAGAACACAAAAGATCGCATCAAAATGATTCAAAATTTTTTTAGTTAAATTTCAAAAGAAAGTTTTGAACTACAAACCAAATTTTTACTTTTTTTTTATAAATTAAAACGAAGAGGGAACAATATTTTTTCAGTGGTATGTTGCTACACTACTTCGTCCATAAGCTTTTTAATAATAATTTAAGTGTTTCGTTTCTTTCTAATAGTGGTGTTTTTATTTTTATCTAGAGCTGTTTCCATATTTTTACATATAACTTAGGTTAACATGCCACATATATTTCAAATAATAATAATGTACATATTTTTCTAAATTTTAAGTTGAATTTCTATTAAATTAAAAATCTCTGCATGCAGTCATAATATCATTAATTTTAGTGGAAGATAGGGAAAAATGATTAGAATACAAATACTCGATTAAAAAAATTAAAATGCATATTTACGCTTATTTATTGTATTCGGTCACTAACCTAGCTTTTATTGTGCTTTTAATAGTGAACAACAAAAAAAATACTTTTTTTACCTAGACGCATGAATGAATAAAATATTTCTTTTACATTTTAAATATTAACAAGTATTATTTATTTGTTAATTAAAACAAATGTATAAGGATAATCATTATTTTCGAATTTTAGGTTATTGCAATTTATTGGTACGTTTTCACTTTGTTTTATAATTGATTTTTTTTTCAATTTTCTTCCTTTATTAGTTCTTCCGAATACGTGGTTAAAATTAATGACATTATGACTGAATCACCCTGTATATAAATTACCTTTATTTGGTATTCAGACAAACAAGTTTTTTGCAACATAAAAAAAATGTTTCCCATGCAAATAAATTTTGTTACTCCCATTGTATAATTTTTTAAATAATCATGCTATGTTAAAAATTTACAAAGAAAATTGGGAAATGATGATGATTGAAAAATAACTGATAACTGATGTGGAGCCCGTGTCTTCGTTATCTGGACTTTTTTTTAAATCCTCCTGGAAAACTTCGAAGTATCAGGGAATTTTAAGATCAAAATTTAGGAGCACCCTGATCTCACTAAGCATTAATTTTTGTGTATAGATAAGTTGGCCCAAATCGTCTTATTTTAAATCCGGTCTGTGGTTAAAACATCCTGTATGAGAGTGCTATCATGGAAATGAAGAAACCACTGAAACATGGAAACACGCAAATTTTATACAGAGACTTTTATTTGACTCTGAATAAACAACTGAATCACCTTTCCAACCTTACTTTTAATAAAACTGAAAAGTTATATTCTAAATTACCCTTTGTCGCAAAAGCGTTTGATTTTTAACGTTTCGATGGTGTGATATTGTGAATCAGCCTTTAGTGCTCCCCCAGATACATGAGTCTTAGACCCCGCTCGATACATTAAGATGAAATCCACTGAAAGCTCGGCAAATATGCCCTTTTTCGGTCCGGACAGGGTCATTAATTATTGCGCGAATTATAGTTCGATCCACAATACACCTTTGTTATTTTTGCTCCCGAATTGAAGAAGGTAATGGAATTACCGGGTAATCCGATGTTCTATATTAATTAAAAATAATAGGATGATTGCATGAAACCCCAAACTTTCTGTATTAAGTTACGAGAAAGTCTCTATCAATTACTTGTGGAATCAGTTCTCCTCCGATGCGAAAACCAAGAAGTTCCTATTAATTTTATTTGTGCTTTCGGGAGTTTGGAAGTTTTTCACGTATTGGGCTGAATATGTCGGTGTACTCCCAGGCACTAGTAGCTTCCGACGTATCAGATGGGTAATCCCACAATTTCGTTTGGCCCATACTGATTATTTAAACAAGGTACCTACTTGAACATATCCCACAAATGTTATACAAGATGGGTTTAAAAATAAGAACAAAAAGTCTTTTTTGCAAAACCGATTTATTTTATTCAAAATAGTCCCCTTCCGACTCAATACAGCAATTTGCATGGTCTAAAATCAGGTCAAATGAGTATTTTAGATCGTCTACCTGGATGTCCTTCAGGATATCTTTGGATGGTTTCTACGTCAACCAAACGCTTTCCTTTCATCGGCAAATACATTTTCCGAAAAGGTAAAACTCGCAAGGAGCCAAATCAGGCGAATATGGAGAGTAGTTGTATCGTGCAACAAACGTCGACTTCCTTATGCGCGATATTCTGGCCGAATAAGACGAATACGATGCACCAAACGCTTCAAAACGCCAAGATGGAACTGTGTAGTACAGTTTGAATGAAGTCTTTGTGGACAATTCCCTTGGAATCGTAAAAGCAAATCAACATTTTGTTCACTTTTCGACGTTTTTTTTTTGTTTTGGCTCGTCTGTTTCCAAAAAAAATTATGTTTTCTGTCATATCTTAATGCTAGTTAGTAAGCTTTACGATGATCTCGTTTTAGTATTACGACTAGCTTTGTTTATTTATTCCTGAAGCTGTAGTCCATCTTGGGCTTACGAGACGAATTGCGGCAAATAATAGAGGAAAATTGTAATCTCCTCAGGGACAGTCATGCCATAATAAGTTTCTCTATAAATAGCCTGATTAGAAGATGTCAAAAGTGTATCGATGCGGAAGGATTTCGTTTTTAACAATAATTGTTGTAGAACTTGTTACTATTTGCTAATGTTATTTTATTATTCAGTTTGATATTTTTTCCAGAAATAAAATTATTTCTACAAACAACCGTCAGTGGCGTATTCTTTTCTTGGGAAAAGTTGGCGGATGTTTTAGTAGTACGTCTCTGGTTATAACCAAGAGGATCAAATAAACGGATTAATTTATTAGGAAGATTAAACAAAACGTAAAAACAAGCCCAAATGTCTCCTAAACGGAAACTACTATTAAGAAATAACAAGAAACATTTTTCATTCATTTAACGTAGTAGTAGGTATCTGAATGTAGCATTATTTCTACAAAAAAACTCCAGTGGCGTATTTTTTTATTGGGAAAATGGGGCGGCACCTCCAGTAGCACGCCACTGGTTGAAGCCATGACGTTAATATTACATTCCATAAAAGGTCTAATTAAGTGAATACGTTGTAGTAAATTACATTCAATTCTGTCAACGCATTATGAAGATAAGGCAGAAAAAATATATATTTTTTGTAACCCTGTATCTTGAATACCGAGTAGCGCAGGAAAAAAGTTTATAGAGCAAACTCTACTTATTTTTTGGTAATGAATTTAATCCTACAGTTTCTGAATTTAAAGTGAAATCACCCTGTATAATTCTCTGGTAGAATAAATTCCAAAATATTGCATTGTAATTTGAGGCAGTATTTATGAAAATACTTCTTTTATCATTTAAATACTCTGCAGAGATATTCGCGTTTGAGAGGTGAACCAAAAATTCGGTTTTCTTTTTTTTTTCAAAAACGGCTTAACCTAAAATTTTGAAATTTGGTATGTATGTTCTACTTTTTGGAAAAATTGAGCGAGCAAGAAAAATTTCTAAATTCATAGAGCCACAATACCGTAATTTTAATTTTGATCCATAGCCATCTAGAAAAATTTCGAACCAAAACATTAGGAAGGGTCGTTTGTTTCAACAACTTCGAAGTGAAAGCTGCAAATAAAAATTTATTTCTAAAACGTAGTTCCATCAGTAGAACATACGTACCAAATTTCTAGATTAAGCCGTTTTTGAAAAAAAAAAAATGAAAACCGCATTTTTGGTTCACCCCACAAACGCGAATATCTCTGCAGGGAAGGCTCAAATCGAAAAAAAATATAAAAAAGACCCCCCCCCCCTAAAATAGGTCATAGAATGGCTTTTCAATATTTACTTGGAATTCCGAGACACCTTGTATAATTTATAACATGACTACAAAGACACAAGATGGGGATATTTGGTCTATTTGGAACTGCGAAATATCCCTAAATAATATACCCCAGATATCACTTTCTCATTCTTTTCTAAATGACATTTAGAGAAGAATATGACCATTCAGTAATAATTTTATTCATCTTACATATAAAATTTCACTCCAATGTTTATAATCTTCACTAAAAAAATCATATTTGTTACAGGCACTAATCTGTTCAACGTGGCGGCCCACGAAATAGGCCATTCCCTCGGCCTGTCTCATTCTAACGTGGAGGATGCTCTCATGTACCCCTGGTATAAAGAGATGGAGGATGGATTCGACTACGAACTCCCAGAAGATGACAAACAAGCCATACAACACCTCTATGGTGAGTCTCATCCCCTTCCCATAGCTTAGAATCAGTCAAAACTTACCACAGTGGCTTCTCAAATCTTGTTTTTGTAAATTACTAGGATTTTTTTTGGTAACGGTACATAGAAACAGTCGTAACATGTTTTTTTCTTTCAGGTCCCAGAGACTCCAGGCGTAACTGGGGCGTCATACCCAAATACCGACCTGTACATACTACCACCACCACCACTACCACAACCACGACGACGACGACCACCCCCAGACCCACCCAGAGGGTTCACCACACGAGGCCGACAAAGAGGCCGTATGTACCTCAGTATCCGCACGGCAGGAACCCCTACAACCCTTACAACCCCTACTACCCCAACAAGCCCACTCACCCTAATGAGAAGAAGCCTCACTACCCCAAGCAGAACCCCTACCGGCCAGAGAGGAAGTACCCTAAACAGCACACACCAGGTAAGAATATTAAAAGTTTTGGAGCCTTTAAAAATGTATATTTAAGAGGGTTCTATAGCAAATAGGCAACCAGTAATACATTTTTATAGATTTTATTACACAGTTTGTCTAAATAATAATGCACAAATAACAGACTTTCCTCCATTCTAACGCAGATTTTCTATAAAATGGAGTTTGTTTGAAGCTCAAATTAAGTACTTTTTGTTTTAAAGAAATTTGTAATTTGCCGCTTTTGAACAAGTAAGTAAACAAGTCCATTTTATAGAAAATCTGCGTCAAAATGGAGGAAAGTTTGTAATTTGTGCATTAATTCATATTTAGACAAATTGTGAAATAAAATCTATCAAAATGTATTGCTTGGTATTCTATTTGCTATAGAACCCTCTTAATTGTTTTTTTTTTTCAAAAGATTTTTGAAAAATATTTAACTGTACTCCGCTATTTTTTATCTACTTACATGTACTTACAATGAGAACCATATTTTGCGCATTAGAACTATTTTCGTAGTGATAAAATTGGATTACTGTAAAATAACTTTAAATTTATCGCCGGAAGTGACGTAAAAGGCTTCACCTGTATAAAACATAAAGGTATTTCTAGTCCATTTACATAAATATTTGATGCATTGTTGCCAAAGTTTCTTTCACTATACGCTTTATTTATTTATTACATGAATTAATTACTTTTATTGACAATATTGAGGAGACAACTACTTTGTAAACTAATGCCCCAAGAAGTCCTCAAACCCAATATTTTGTAAGTAGTTACGATTATTCGTCGGTAGAAACCACCAGAACATATACTTGTTTGGAATTTATTGGCTATTCTCATCAGTATGGTAATTTCTGCTGACAAATCATCCTAGATATGTTTTAAATGTTTAGATACTTAATAACTTGTAGAATAATTCCTAAAACTGAAGCAAAACTCTCGAAATTGTAGCACGTGATGGTGCTCGAGCATTTGGGTGTAGATAGTAGTTTTGCTTATCTGTGTAGAGTAGTTTCAAAATCTCATGAGCCGCGAAATGCGCGAAAGGCGTGGCGTAACCGCATAATTCTTCTAATAAGCACGTTGTGAAACATTGACTCAGGATTAGACCATGTGCCTCATTACAATCAGAATTGAATTGAGGCGCTCGGGCATCAATAAAGCCAACTGGCGAACGTTATATATATATATATATATATATTTCTATTGCTTAAATTAAAATAATAAATAATAGGGCATTTTATTATGATATTAGTAATCGAATCATAAGGCTTGTTTGCTACGAGAGCTCGAGATAGACTGTGAATAATAGATATAATGATTTTAGGACGTAGAATAATTTAGGAGACGGTCGGAATTATGTTTCTGCGCATATGAAGGTCAAAGCTCATAAGATTTTGAAACAACTCTACATACCTCGTGTACATTACAAATTCCCTTTTCGTGACATTTCCAAGTCATGCAGAACTTCTTGACTTTTCCAGATTTGTAGATATCCTGTATATTATATGTAATGCAAAAATAAAATTATACCTACTATTTGAAATTTGCACAAGTCAGCAGCACCGATCTATATAATTTATACAATTAATGATTTTCACTTCATACTTCTTTTTCCAACCTTTTCAGAGATATCCGATATACCTACGATTTTTAAATTTTTATTTGGTTACTGAAAATGTTACTGTCGTTTGTTATTCATAAATTTGTCTTATAATATTTTCTTTCAGTTGTTTTACAAGACAATATCCTTTTTAGTAGTGGCGTCACATACGCCAAATAATAGGCAAACCCATAGTACACATTGTCATGAGGAATTTCCCAGTATTTTTACTAGATCGATTTTCGACATTATGTACTTTGGACATAAGTGCCAAAAAAATGTCTTTGTCATGACCTAGCAATATTAGAAATATTTAATAAGTTTCAAACCCCCAAGTGACAAACTAAAAAAATGATATACAGGGTGAGTCAATTTTTTGTAGACAAACTTTAACAGGAGATAGAACACATGTTTTTAAAAAGAAAGGTTCCTATAAATATATGTCGTAGGCTATATAAGGCTTCGTTTCTCGAATATTCATTATAACTTATAAACGAATGCTTAGACTTTTTTCATGTTTGGGAGATAATGCCTATTAATTAAGGGGCATAAAACAAGCGATAAAAATGTTCAAAAACTTGCACAGTGGCGGAGTGGAGGGGATGCTCAACCCCTTTCTTAAACAGAACTTCTACGCCAATGACTATTTTTTTTTAAAAACTGTTATTTTCATTATCTGCATACAGTTTAACAAAAATAATGTCCCTTCTTCTGTTTCGAAATTCCTGTGCGTTTCCGAGTTATTTTGATTTTTAGTATTTGTTGTGGTACTAAATTAAGTAATTTATTTATTATCAATTATAATTATATTATATTATCGGCTAAATATTTCATTCTTTCGACGAAACCTACCTAAATATGGTTTGTTAAGGATTTTAAAATGCCGAAATCTCTTATTCTTCATCTCTTTCCAATGTAGTCAAAATAAATATTTGTTATATCAAGCTATACTCAAATACAAGACTTTTATAAGTTGAAATCTGTTACATTACATACATACAATACATTATTGTGCAGTTGCCAAAAAGTTTTAAGAAGTTGTTAATTAAATATTGTTATAAATTCAAAAAATTTCTCCATAAACATTAACATCAATGTTCATTCAATTTTTTTTTTTTGTAATTTAGTTGCAGTACATTAGTATTTACGCAGCACATAATAAATAAGGATTGTTAAAATTAGTGTACTAAACAGATTTCAACTTATAAAAGTCTTGTATTTGAGTATGGCTTGATATAACAAATATTTATTTTGACTACATTGGAAAGAGATAAAGAATAAGAGATTTCGGCTTTTTAGAATCCTTAACAAACCATATTTAGGTAGGTTTCGTTGAAAGAATTAAATATTTAGCCGATAATTGATAATAAATAAATTAATTTAGTACCACATCAAACACTAAAAATCAAAATAACTCGGAAACGCACAGGAATTTCGAAACAGAAGAAGGGACATTATTTTTGTTAAACTGTATGTAGATAATGAAAATAACAGTTTTTTTAAAAAATAGTCATTGGCGTAGAAGTTCTGTTTAAGAAAGGGGTTGAGCACCCCCTCCACTCCGCCACTGTGCAAGTTTTTGAACATTCTTATCGCTTGTTTTATGCCCCTTAATTAATAGGCATTATCCCCCAAACATGAAAAAAATCTAAGCATTCGTTTATAAGTTATAATGAAAATTCGAGAAAAAAAAATTATATTCAACACCCTGTATCTCGGAAACGAAGCCTTCTACGACATATGTTTATAGGAACTTTTCTTTTTAAAAGCATGTGTTCTATCTCCTGTTAAAGTTTGTCTACAAAAAACTGACTCACCCTGTATATATAAATGGCATTTTTTATTTCTACTAAGTACTTTTATTGATTTTCTAGGTGTTGTACCGTGTCAGTGTGTTTATCGGCTGTTTTTTTCTTCAAGTGGTTTATTCTAGACGTACTCTTTCTTAACCACAACCAAACTTTTCTTGAATGATATCCTGTTGCGACGCTACTTTGCTTACATAAAATTATCTTTAATCCGCATGCTCAGTAACATTGATACAATTTTAATTTATTACTTATTACTATAAAAGTCAATATTCTATAAATTTAAATATATAAATTCTATAATTCTATTAGTTTGTCACTTGGGGTTTGACACTTTATAAATATTTCTAATATTGCCAGAATATTGCAATATTTAAGGTAATTGTATTGCCAGAATATTGCAATATTTAAGGTAATATATTAAAGCCATTTTTTAGCACTAATGTCCAAAGTTTGAAAATCCATGTAGTAAAAATACTGAAAAATTCTTCATGACAATGTGTACTATGGGGTTGCCTATTATTTGGCGTATGTGATTCAATGATAACATCGCCATCTGTTGTGCTATTAACCACATACTTCTATATAGAAGTATGTGCTATTAACTTTCACATTTCATCCTCTTCCGCTAGATGGCCGTAAGTATAGAGCTAAATGCCCCCGCCCCCAAACGCTTTTCAAATTGATCTAATTGCATTATCGCGTTGAGACGTACCTAATTCTTATTTATCATTACTTGATTGCGATTAGTTATTTACAATTCCTGGTTGTTTACAAACAGTAAACATTAGTCATGAATTATTATGCGAGGTCGTTTTCAAGGTAAGCGAAATCACGTACACACATCACTTATCAAACTTTATTTTATTATATCCTGGAGGTACAGAACCAATACGATTATTCCGCCTATGATCACCAGCAAGACTACGATGCAGATCGTCTTGACGAGGCAAGAAATGCTGAAACAACACAGAACAAATGAATGGGGACGACCAAATAAACGTATTAATAACACTTACGCGTTGCAAATGAAACACATCGTTCTTTGCACGGCCGACTATGATGTACTTCGAAACTGGTTTTACGACCGATGGTGGAAGAACTAATCGTGCACAATGCAACTAACAGACTAGTCGACAAGACAAACGCCGAGCCTGGAGCACATACAGGGACTCTCCGTCTGAGCGGCGCGTCACCAGCGGAGTATTTATTGGTTCGCTAATTGTGACAGTCTAGTACCTGTTAAAAAAAGATAGGTACTAATTTTCCTGGGAACAGTGGAGGAGATAATGCTTTTATGGGTCCTGTGAGATAAACTATAGAATGTCAATATTTAGCTAATATGTGTCATAAATTACGGTTGTAAAGCGAAAATAGACCGTACAGTGCGTACTGTCCTACAGGCTACGGATACGGTGTTTGTGTGAGGTCGAGAGGCATCGATTTCGAATGCGGGTGACAGGGTCGGCCTTAATGTTTTTATACATTGTGTCCCAAAATGATGGAACAAAATTCTTTTGGCACATATCCAAAGCACATAAGGCCGAAAATCGATCTGGTAAGAATATTGGGAAATTCTTCATGACAGTGTGCACTATGGGTTTCCTATTATTTAGCGTGTGTGACGTCACTACTAAAAAGGTCTATTAAAACCTTCGTTTTACTTTTATATATTTTATATTTTTTTCGGGTTATTTCAATTGATTCTTCTTCTTTGATTACATACTTTTAGCTTGATAAATCGTTTTATCGCATCTTGCTGCCATGTATTGGTTGAGATATATTTGATACTTTCAAGGAAAATAACGTTGAATAACTTAAAAATTAAAAAAAAACAATAATATACGGGGTGTTCTACACTTCTGCAAAAAATTAAGGGAGCAAAAATTTTTTTCGAATTTTTAGTGATTTTTCAGAATGCTGTATCTCAGTTAAAAATGATCGTATCAAGGTTTTAAAAAAAGCATTTTAAAGCGCCGAATGTCTAGTTTCCAGATTTCTTGGCTCAAAATTTTTAGGAGGGACAGTCATCGCGAAATTCTAAGAAATAAGACTAAAAATTTTTTTTTAATTTTTTGCGTTCTTTTTCTCGGTCCACGGGATTGGAAAAATTTTTTACACAAAAATCATGATATGGACTTGATAACATGTTCATTCAGCTTTAATTTCTTTTTTTAAATTTTTCTCTACGTTAATTTGACCCGGAGATATTCGACTACGAATACAAAAGCATCCTTTTGGCTTTAACCATCGACATCTCAGCAACTAATGATCAGACAGAAAATTGACGGGCAGTTTCGAAATCTCGAATAAATTTCCTACAAGGCTATGTAGTGTTCTTGGAAGAAAAAAAATTTCTTTCATCCTCGACATTAACTTGAAAACAGTGAAAAAAAGTGATTTTTTGACTTGTTTTGCTAAGTCGACCGCATCTTTGCTAATATCGATGGAGAGTCTAATGCTTGTACGAATTTTTACACCTCGATGTACGCCCAAAAGCTCCGTAAATGGGCAGATCGATCTATCGAACGGTTTTTCCGGATCGCTAAATCAAAATTTCAGAAAAATTTAAAGGAGCAAAATTTACATCTCTGAGCACCCTTAACGTTCGTAAAAATGAAAAATTTGTTTTTTTTTCAATTCTTTCACAATTGGGCATTTTTTTGCTCATTGAATTTGAAAAAAAAATGAATTTTTGAAAAACAACTTTTTTTTTTTAATTTTTGAAAATTTTTTGAAAATTTACTCTTTATATTTTGACAACTCAAGATAAAAATATTGAGTCATTTTTGAAGCGATGTACTCTTTCCGTACCGTAATTTCCTTTATTTTGAATTAACGAAATTGATTAAAAGTTGATACCCCCAAGATTGGTGTAGTCCTTGATCTGCGAAAAAATAGTGCGTATTATCCTAAACTTTCTTACGAAGCTGAGCGACTTCGGGTGCGGATAAATACCGTCTAGGCATGACAAAAATTAAAAAAATTTAAGTCTACAAATACTTTTGATTAATTTTTTTCACTAGAATTCCAAAAAATATTGTTAGTTTTGAGAAAAACTGTTGGTTGGTTCCTTTGAATCAAAGACTGAGTTAAAAAAAAACTGTTTTTTTCACACTTGTTAGCTTCGTAAGAAAGTTTAGGATAATACGCACTATTTTTTCGCAGATCGAGGACTACACCAACCTTGGGGGTATCAACTTTTAATCAATTTCGTTAATTCAAAATGTAGAAAATTACGGTACGGAAACAGTACATCGCTTCAAAAATGACTCAATATTTTTATCTTGGGTTGTTAAAAAATAAAGAGTAAATTTTCAAAAAATTTTCAAAAATTAAGATTTTTTTTCAAAAATTATTATTATTTTTCAAATTCAATGAGCAAAAAATGCCCAATTGTGAAAGAATTGAAAAAAATCAAATTTTTCATTTTTACGAACGATACAGGGTGCTCAGAAATGTATATTTTGCTCCTTTAAATTTTTCTGAAATTTTGATTAAGCGGTCCGGAAAAACCGTTCGATAGATCGATCTGCCAATTTACGGAGTTTTTGGGGGTACATCGAGGTGTAAAAATTCGTACAAGCATTAGACTCTCCATCGATATTAGCAAAGATGCGGTCGACTTAGCAAAACAGGTCAAAAAGTCACTTTTTTTCACTTTTTTCAAGTTAATGTCGAGGATGAAAGAAATTTTTTTTCTTCCAAAAACACTACAAAGCCTTGTAGGAGATTTATTCGAGATTTCGAAACTGCCCGTCAATTTTCTGTCTGATCATTAGTTGCTGAGATATCGATGGTTAAAGCCAAAAGGATGCTTTTGTATTCGTAGTCGAATATCTCCGGGTCAAATTAACGTAGAGAAAAATTAAAAAAAAGAAATTAAAGCTGAATGAACAGGCTATCAAGTGCATATCATGATTTTTGTGAAAAAAATTTTTCCAAGCCCGGGGACCGAGAAAAAAAACGCAAAAAATTGAAAAAAAAATTTTTTTAGTCTTATTTCTTAGAATTTCGCAATGACTGTCGCTCCTAAAAATTTTGAATTAAGAAATCTGGAAACTAGACATTCGGCGCTTTAAAATGCTTTTTTTAAAACCTTGATACGATCATTTTTAACTGAGATACAGCATTCTGAAAAATCACTAAAAATTCGAAAAATTTTTTTGCTCCCTTAATTTTTTGCAGAAGTATATTTAGGAAGATGAAGTTGCGTAATACCCAGACGAAAAGACGGAAGAGTTCGTCATGTTGTATACAAGTATTTTCTAAAACCTTTAACTTAAGAGAATCATGAAAAGTGTAGGAAACAGTTTTATTTAAGGGAGGCGTATATATGCGCAATTATTTGTACAGAGTTTTAAAAAATCTAAGCAAGTTAGAAACAGTATCTCTTCTCTGTGCTAGTTATATAAGTTTTCTTCAGGGTATAACTGATAATACTTTCAAAATAAGGAAAAAAGATATTTTTACCTCGTTGAACACCTGTCGGACACACAGAAAATCGCGTACAGTACTATAAACTTAATCACACCCCGTAGAATGCTTATAGGAAACTGTTAACACACGCGCGAATCACAATTATTGAATATTTTTACAAACTTGCTGGACAAAACAAGAAAGGTACATTTTCTGATGTTTACATGTTCTCCGTGATCATTCAATGCGAAAATTTTAAGGAAGTTGTTCCAGTTTAGCGTTACTCTTCGACACATCCAGGATGGATCTACTTGTTCTATCATTGCCTTACTAAAAGTTGTTACAAAAGGAGATGCGTATATTATTTCCTAACATAGCGTATATTTCCTAAAATTTTTCATGATCAAGAAATTGAACACTAAAATTGACTATTTAAAACAGCATTAGCCGCTTCGGCCGGGGTCGCAATGGTGATTTCACTGTGATGACTGTCAATGTCCTTCTGAATATCTTGAGCTCGATTATAAATCAGAACAGCTACTATTACCAAAATAATTAGTACTGCCAAGATGACAGCTAAGATAAGCAGTTTCACTGTGGTAGAGAGCCTGAAATAAAACGGATCAAATACCTGTAAGTAACCAACCCTTATGTGTTAACAACTTACCCTTTAATAAAGACACACATTCCCACCTCAAAACACACCAATTACAACGAATAATACAACTTAATGTAGATTTGGCTTAAGTGAACACGTTTCTGTTGGTGAACTTCACTGTTACGGCTTAATTACTGCAAAAACCTATAAAAGACAGTTGTTTGATAATCTTAAGAGGATATAGGGGATAATCAGTTAATCAGTTAATAAATGGTCAGTAATACAATCCAGTGGATGCTGCATTCTTGACAGTATCAGCTCGTCTGCGTCTCTCTGACCACACGAAGCCGGAGTGTCAACATACTGACGATTTTTGTCACTTACAATCAGGGTTACCAATGGTTCCCGGATGAAATACCCATTTCAGAATTCGCCATTACCCACAAATGCTCACATTACAATTTTTACAGGGCGGCACAAATAAAATAAATATTCGATCTTTATTACATTTCAGACAAGAATTAAAATAAAACAAAAGAACTATACGGTTTTTTTATTCGTTTTAAAATGGTATGTTTATTCGAAATGGTAAGTTATTAACTGCCAGTAGTCCACATAATTTAAGACTTTTTTTTATTTAAGATTTTTTGGGTAGACTTAAATGCGTTTTGTCATAAGATCATTTATTTTCGTATTCGATTTAATTTGTTTCACATTATTTTTATGTTTTTCTGAAGACTGATGTTGATATAGATCATTTTTACTATAAATAATAGATAGTTACTTGATCCAAATCTGAAAGACTGGCTTATAAAGCAAGAAACTAATAGTAGTAGGAGCAGTTGTAATGAATATGCCTTTTGCAAGGCATGTAATATATCGTTAATTGCCGATAAAAATGATCTGTATCGACATCAGTCTTCAGAAAAACATAAAAATAATGTTAACTGGGCTACTCATAGCATAGCACAGTGTCACACGTCACAAGAAACAAGCAAGAAGGCACATATTAATTAGTGAGACGGATTGTCAGTTGTCCTGTGTTACAACCAAAGTATTATATCTATCCTCTATTCTTATGTATAAAATAAGCAGAACGCGTAGAGTAGGCCAGCCAATTACAACGCAATATAAATAAAGTTATTTGTTACCTCCTCAATAAAATTAATATTCCCCACAAAATCTCCAGGAAAAACAATTCCCCACAAAAAAAC